ATCCACCCCCAACCTAAATTAGGCAATGTCCTCATTGCACTATTAATCGACATTATAGAAAAAAAATATAAAGAAAATGAAAACTAACACAACATGATGGGTTGCTTCCCCTATAGCACTTTGTTTAATGTCGTTAGCCCGACGTTGTTCTTTACTTAACCACCCATATTTGTTGGTTCATGGAGAGGTACTTCATCCAATTGTTCCATGAATGGCTCGTAGTACGGCTTTAGACGATGGTCATTGACCTTGAAGTCCTTCCCGATCTTCATGCTCTTAATTTCCACTACACTATTTGGAAAAACATTAGTAATCACAAAAGGACCAACCCAATAAAAACGTAACTTGCCTGGAAAAAGTTTAAGACATGAATGGAATAGAAGAACTTTTTCTCCAGTTCCAAAATGCTTTCACTGGATCATCCTATCATGGAAGGCCTTTGTTTTGTCCTTGTAAATTTGTGAACTTTTGTAAGCTTCATTCCGTATCTCCTCAAGTTCATTCAATTGCAATTTTTGTTGTTCTCCCGCTGCGTCTAGTTTCAAATTACATTGCTTGATTGCCTAATAAGCTCTATGCTCTAATCCAATGGGAAGGTGACATGGTTTACCATAAATCATTCGAAATGGGGACATTCCTATTAGAGTAGGTGCACTAGAGCCAACGATTTAGCTCTTATAATCATATTTCAAATTAATGAATAAAAGGCATCACTTACTTATGAGCATATATTATAGCATCTATTTGTTATGCGTAAAGAAAATAGTGTATGTCCTTAGAAAGGTTGGAACCAGTGACGAGGGAATTAAGTGTTATACATCTTAATTGTGAGAACCCTATGAGCATAATTGGTGGCCTTTCTTAAACCCTCCGTTGTCATAGTATAAATTTGACCAAGGACACATATTATACGGAGAGACTATCATTGCGTTGAACGACCCTATCGAAAGGTATTGATAGATCTCACATGTCAAGGTTGTGGGCATCAACTTGGTGTAACGCATGGGTGCTTGCTTGTGAAAATACACTGGATTTACCCATCAGAGGATTCTACACGATAGGGTAAACCTAGTGTCTGTGGAATATATCCTCTTACGGATGGTGGCGCATGTGGTCCTTCGACTTGAGATCACTAGAGTGTCATGTGTAAATATCGATGTGATTTGACACTAGCCTAACAATGTCTCTTGGAGGGATTACCAAAATGGTGGTGATTGGTTACATCGAGAAGTTTACTATGGCTATGGTGGATCAACAAAAGATTCATCATTCCTAGTTACAAGAGATCTTATCTCGGCTAGCTATTTAGTTAAAGAACTAGGACCTGAAATCCGTGGCCACGGTAGAATCGAGTTGGTGCTCTAATCAAATTTTATAGTCGTCAGATTCAAGAACCAAATATAGAACATGTCAAGGTAGCTTTTGAGGTAGACACTACTCCTGTACCTCAAACCTTGATGAGATAAAAGATGATGAAATGGATTGAATTGCACAGTAACCATACCGAAGACAAGGTAAGCCTAAATCACTGATTCTTTACTTACCGGGGAATCATGATTCCTTGCTAGAGGCCAATCTTGATTGGTGTAGAAAAACACTAATTGCTTGATGCTTAATAAGTTATCAAGACACTGCCAGCAAAGTGAAGAGCCTTTGGGTCACACACATAGAAGGTAGTTAAGTGAGAAATGGAAATGGAAGGACAATCTTATCCTTGGGCCGAAAACGGTATTTCGAGAATTTGGGAGTCCATGGGCATTTTCGTCATTATGGGCAAAAAGGGCACTTTGGTAATTTTGCTAAGGGGTTGACATTATTATCCAATTTATTTGGAGAATTTTTAGGAAAATTGGAATCATATTAAATATGGAGAATAAATATTTAATTTAATTAAATATATATTGAAACCCATATATCAAATATGATAAATATATATAAATATATGTGGATTAAATAAATAGTAATATTTATTTAATTAGAATATGTATTTATATAGGAATTAAATAAATAGAAATATTTATTTAATTAGGGTTCATATTTAAGGAGAATATCTTTAAGAGATATTCAAATCCCTTATATCAAGGATTGCAATCCAATTCAAATAGGAATTAAGGATTGTAATCCAATCCAAATAGGAATTAAGGATTTACAGTCCTTATTCGATTCTTATTGGGATTGTCTATATAAAAGGTCATTGGGTTTTGATTTAATAGAGCAATTCTCATAAAGTTAATTTTGCAAATTGAATAACAAAATTAATTCTCCTAATACCCTAGCCGCCGCAAACCCTAGAAAGAAACTCTCTCTCTAAATTTCTTCACCTCCCTTAAGCCCTCCAATTGATCTAGCAGTCAATCCCAGGGTGATCTCGAGCTTGCCTTTGTATGGATATTGACGGACTCAATCCTACATTGGATTGATAGCGACTAGTTGGAAAGATCCAGAGGAGGAGCCGCCAATGGAGGTAAATCACATAACCTTGTATGGTTTTACATGTTGATTATTCAGCTGGAATCATGATCTTGGGTAATGGAATCATGCCATAGCAAGAATTTTTTTATTATAAATTTGCGCTTGCTACAACATGGTTCCTACAAGTGGAATCAGAGCTTCGATTCGACTATTAATTGCATGTATGTGATTGGGTGCTAGATTGGCATGTGTAGGTTTTTTTATTTTAATTTTAAACTTACTGTTTTGATTTGATTTTGTTGATGAAGTTTCTTTCAAGATTGGTTGGAAAACCCTAACGATGGTGGATGAATTTTGTGGGTTGCACGTAGCCGTTATCATGGCTGCATGTTAACGCACGCAGCCCTTGCTCCGTGGATGTGCGTTGCCGTGCATAACTACCCTAACCATGGTTATGCATTGTTGCGCATAGCCAAATGAACAGGGTTGTGCGTGGGTGCACAACCCCGAGCAACCTGCCTCTTCAGCTGCATGCTAGTGCATGTGGCAACCTTGCCTCTTGTTGCTCATTGCCGTGTACGGCAGTCCATCCTGCTACTCATTACCATGCGCGGCTGCGCCTGGTTATGCGTTGCCGCATGCCACCAAGCAGCCCCAAGGGCCCTTGGCCATGCCTTCATGCACGGCTAGCCCTCACTCTAGGGTATGCACCTCACAACGCATTACCCCTTGGCACATGGCACTTGCCACACGTAAGCACATGGCACACTAGCTCAATGTTGCACACTTGTGCTCGGTGACAACCCTTGTCGCACGTGCGAATACGCGACATTATGGGCCTCGTACTATGTGCGTGGGCCTAGTGGGAGTGGTTTGTTTTGGGCTACTAAGGTTTAATGGTTATTACCATCAATGAGGATAAACCCCACGATCTTTTGTGTGGGAATTTGAGGGTTGAAAAGGATTTGTCCTGTTGCCACAAGATAAGGGTATTTTAGGGATTGGAGAAAAACGTTTTGAACTTTTACACTTAGCCATCAATAAAAGAATGAGTTGCCATTATTCTAGACTCTTTAGTAAATTTTAAACTAGACAGGGACTATACTATAATTTTACAAAGTTTAGGGACCAATAAAAACTCTGCAAAATTAAAGGGGGTAAAGTGAAATGAACTCGACAATTCAAATATGGTAAATTTGAATTCATGTATTATATGATTGGTGTCTATTATGCATGGTGTTTGGTACTCAGCCATAGACCTTAGGTTTTATTAGTTTGGATTTAGTTTTTTTTTTAAAATAGTGCCAACGTGTCCTACCTTACCTCCCATTCTTCAATATAAATTCTCTTCTCATCTAAATCCCCTCGAATGTAACTCGAGGTTTCTTTAAATTTATATGTAAAGTAGAATAAGCTTTGAAGACGAGGTGAAGGCGTGACGAATCCCTAAGATGTTTTATTCTTTGTAATAGAATAATAAACCTAGGATGACCTACCAACTTCCTCTAAGCTTGAGGAAATTGGTGTTAGAATGGCCATGTACCAACACGAGTTTATGGAGTGTCTTATTTGTAGAAGCATGCTAAGGTTGAATGCCAAACGATAACATGCTAAATAAGATAAGAACATGGTGAGAATTTTAAAGGATGAACTCCTCATAAAATATATTAAGTCAAAAATAAATCAAGCCTTCCATCCCATGGGATTAATCAAACCATCATTTGTCGTGGTCTCACTTGCCCTACAGGGAGCCACTTCTACCTTTGGGAGGTTAATCATCATTAGAGTTTTTCCTTAATGGTGATGGGTTATGACTTAACTAGGCGTACTTTGCTAGAATATGGAAGAAGTAAAGAAGAAAGAGGAGAGAGACAGCAAGAAAGAGAGGGAAAAAAAAAAAGATGAAAGAGAGAAAAAGAAAGAGAAGATGAGGTGACGGGTGAGAAGAGGAAAGAGAAGATGAGGTGACATTCTAACATGTGAGAAAAAGAAGAAAAAAAAAAAAAAAATATATATATATAAAGAAGAAGAAGAAAGAGAGAGGAAAAAAAAAAAGTATGAAGGAGAAAAGAGGAAAGAGAAGATAAAATGACATGTGAGAAATATATATATATACATTTGATGATATCATCGGTCTGACTCGTCGGTTAGACCAGTTGGACCATTTAGACCGAAAACTGGCCACCTAACCGAGTCACCTTCTAGTCCGGATTTAAGAACATGGGGCCTACCTACTCATCCTACTTTGGTCTACTTGCCCCCGTGAGAGGTCAAATTAGGAATGACGGGATTTCGGCCCACTAGGAAGACTGATGGACCTTCGTGAGTTTAATAGTGAGGGCTATTAACTTGCATAAAAATAGTGGGAGCATATTAATTGATAAAAGGCCTTATTAATTAGTAAAAGATTATTAACTCTGTTTAATTTATACTCATAGATTTACATTATGACTACCAATAATCTATCACTGCAATCAATCTTCAAAAAGGAAAACAGGTTTGATGGTACAAACTTCACTAGCTAGTATAGAAATCTTTGGATTGTACTCAAGTATGAAAAGAAATTGTTCATCCTAGATGAACCTGTTATGGAAGCGCCTGAACCTAACGCTACTCAGGAACCTATAGGTGCTTATAGAAAGTATCAGGACCATGCTGATATTATACAGTGTATTGTACTTGCATCGTTGACACTTGATCTGCAAGAGCAACATAAGAATTTGGATCCCAGCTCCATCATCACACATCTCAAGGAGCTCTTTCATAAGCGTGCTAGGCACGAATGTTATGAGGTGTCAAAGGCATTATATAGATGTCAAAAGACTAAGGGAACCCCGGTAGGCCTGCATGTAGTCAAGATGATTGGCTACATACATAAGCTTGAAATACTAGGATTTGGTATGGAGGTAAAACTATCAATAGATCTTGTTCTGCAATCCTTGTCTGATTCCTTCTCCCAATTCATAATGAACTTCAATATGAATTCTATGGAGAGGTCTCTCTCAGAGCTTCTGAATATACTGAAGATGGTAGAGAAGGACATAAAGAATTCCAAGTCAGTGATGCTAGTAAACTCTACACCATGTAAAGGAAAGGAAAGGGGAGGTAAAGGAAATGCCAAGGGAAAATCCAAAGCTCAACCCTAAGATGTCCTTAAACCTATTGGAGGCATGAGCAAAGATGGAAAGGTTGTTGCTTCCATTATGGCAAGCCTAGTCACTGGAAGAAACATTGCAAGGCCTTCCTAGCAAGCAAGAAGAAGCAGCATGCATCTTCTTCTAAAGGTATGTACATGATTGAAATCAATGTACCTCCTATTACATCTTGGGTTATTAACACAAGATGTGGTTCTCATATTTGCACTTATGTGCATGGACTACGACGAAGTAGACTGCTTGGTCAAGGAGAGGTGGACCTATGAGTTGGGAATGGAGCACACATTGTTGCATTAGCCGTAGGGGATTATTATTTAAGTTTGCCTTTGGGCCTTGAACTAGAACTTTGAAATTGTTTTTATATACCTTCGATTTCAAAGAATACTATTTTAGTGTCTACTTTGGACATCGTTGGATATCAATTTATGATGACTAATGGATTGATGTCAATTAGTTTGAATGGTATTCAATATAGAATTGCAAGATTACATAATGGTTTGTATGTTCTAGAATTAAATAATAATGAGATTTTCAATCTAGAGAGTAAGAAAGCCAAGGTTGATGGCTTTAATCAAACTTACCTATGGCATTGTAGGCTTGGACATGTGAACCAGACTCGCATAGCAAAACTCCTTAAGGACGAATTTTTGGACCCATTTGACTTTAAGTCTTATAAAGTATGCAAGTCATGCCTAGTAGGCAAAATGACCAAGTCACCTTTTACTGGACACAGTGAAAGGGCAAAGGAACTGTTAGGCATCACCCATAGCGATGTATGTGGACCACTATCAATACAAGCCAAGGTTGGATATTCTTACTTCATCACATTTACTGACGACCTCAGCAGATTTGGATATGTTTACTTAATAAGACATAAGTCTAAATCCTTTGACAAGTTCAAGGAATTCAAGAACGAAGTACAAAATCAACTGGGCAAGAATATCAAGGTTCTCCAATCTGGCAAAGGAGGAGAATACTTGAGCTCAGAGTTTGATGCATGCCTTGAGGAATGTAGGATTATATCTTAACTCACACCTCCTTACACACCTCAGCACAATGCTGAGAGGAGGAATCAAACCTTGTTGGATATGGTTCGATCAATGATGAGCTTTACAGATTTACTCACATTGTTCTGGGGCTATGCCCTAGAGGTTGTGACATATACACTAAATAGTGTACCATCAAAATCAATGGATAAGACACCATATGAAATATGGAATGGGCAAAAGCCCATTTTGTCTCATCTAAGAGTTTGGGGTTGTGACGCTTATGTCAAGAAATTGACTTCGAACAAGCTTGCCTCAAAGTCAGAGAAATGTATCTTTATGGGGTATCCTAAACAGAAAAAGGGATACTATTTCTACAATCCAGCTGAGCAAAAAGTTTTCTTTGCTCAAACTAGAATCTTCCTAGAGAAGGATTTCCTTCAAAGAGAAGATGGTGTAAGAAAGGTAGAGCTCGATGAAATTCTGAAGCTATAAAATGTATCAAATGATGGACAAGATGATGTGCCATCAGAGATGGTTGAGCATCATGAGGAGATCGCTCCACAGGGAGTAGAACAAAACGAACCTCTAACACAAGAGCCGCATAGGTTTGGAAAAATGTGTCGCAAGCCCGAGAGGTATGGTTTTCTCATGACTCAAAGTGGCGACGTATTGGTCTATCAAGACGATGAGCCCAGAACCTACAATGATGCTTTGTCGAATCCAGATTTTGCAAAATGGCTTGATGCCATGAAATCTGAAATGGACTCCATATACCAGAACCAAGTATGAGATTTGGTGGATCCATCCAAAGGAGTCAAACCCATCGAGTGTAAATAGGTCTTCAAGAAGAAGACTGACGTGGAGGGAAATGTTCAAACCTATAAAGCACGACTGGTAGCAAAAGGTTTAAAACAAAAGCATGGGATTGACTATGATGAAACCTTTTGTCCAATAGCAATGTGAAAGTCCATTAGGATTATGCTAGCTATTGCTGCATACCATGACTATGAAATTTGGCAGATGGATGTCAAAACTACTTTCCTGAATGGAAACCTTGAAAAGGATGTCTATATGATACAACCTGATTATTTCGTTCTTGATGGACAAGCAGGGAAAGTATGCAAGTTGAAGAGATCCATTTATTGACTCAATCAAGCATCAAGGAGTTGGAACATTTGTTTTGACAAATTCGTAAAGGAAGTCGGGTGTATACAAAACGAACACGAGCCTTGTGTATACAAGAAAATCAGTGGGAGTGTAGTGACATTCCTAGTGTTGTATGTCGATCACATATTGATCATTGGGAATAATACACCAAACTTGCAAATGGTAAAGACTTGGTTGTCCAAGTACTTTTCCATGAAGGACTTAGGGGAAGCAACCTAAATCCTCAGTATATGTAATGCCCCACTTGAGGTACATAGTTGTTGTTTCCTCTTTCGCTTTTCTTTGAGTTGGTTTTTGGTAATATTGTTTGATTGAGTGTTGTGTTGAATGCTTGCCCTGAAATTGGTTGAAAATAGAAGAAGTTTAGTATTTCAGTCTTCGCCGGGGCGAAGAAGAATCTTCGCCGCGGCGAAGAGGTGTTACTCAAGAGTGATGAATCCTTTGTTAATCCATCATAGTTTTGATACACTGGTCACTATAGTCAATCACTATCGTGTTGATAGCTCTAAATAGAACTATGTTACGCTAGTGTCAAATTACACCAATCGGTGCACAAGGCGCTCTGGTGATCTCAAGTCTAAGGATCACATGCACCACCATTCGTTAGAGGATTTATTCCATAGACACTAGGGTTACCATCTATATGGAATCCTTTGGTGGGTCTCTCCAGTGAACTTGCCTATAGTAAGCACCTATGTGTCGCACCAGGTTGTCGACAAACAACCTTGACAAGTAAGATTTGTCATTGTCTTTCAACAAGGTCGTTCAATACTATGATAGCCTTACCATATTATCTATGTCCTTGGTTAGAATAATACTAGGGCTACAGACATTTCTAGAATGGCCACCAATGTGATCATAGGGTTCTCACTATCAAGATTTGAAACACTTGATACCCTCGTCATGGTTCTACCATCCTAAGGATATATATCAATACATACAATTATGATTTACATGATATATAAGAAAATTGCCTTTTATGATTAATAAACATTATTACAAAGAGTCAATTTTAAAATAATTGATTGGCTCTAGGGGCACCTACTTTAACATACACAAAACGTAGATAGGCCTTGTGTATACAAGAACATCAGTAGGAGTGCAGTGGCATTCCTAGTGTCGTATGTCGATGACATATTGATCATTGGGAGTGATATACTGAACTTGCAAATGGTAAAGACTTGGTTATCTAAGTGCTTCTCCATGAAGGACTTAGGGAAATCAACCTATATCCTCGGTATAAAGATCTATTGTGATAGATCTCATAGGTTGCTAGGCCTAAGTCAAAGATTCAGTATGGAAGATTCAAAGAAAAGTTATCTTCTAATGTCACATAGCATGTATCTCTCTAAGGATATGTGTCCTAAAACACAAAAAGAGAGAGATAGGATTTGGGGTATTCTTTATGCTTCGGTAGTAGGATCCATAATGTACGCCATGTTATGTACTAGGATTGATGTCTCATATGCCTTGAGCATTTGTAGTAGATATCAATCAGATCAAGGTGAAACACACTAGACAGTAGTCAAGAACATCTTTAAGTATCTTAAGAGGACTAAGGATATGTTCTTGGTCTATGGAGGAGAAGATGATCTCACTGTAAGAGGATACAATGATGCCAGTTTTCAAACTGACAAGGATGACTATTGATCATAGTCAGTTATGTGTTTTGTCTTAATGGGGCTGCAGTTAGCTAGAAAAGTTTAAAACAAAGCACTGTAGTGGATTATACAATGGAAGCCAAGTACATCCCTTTAGGTGATGTAGACAAAGAGGTTGTTTGGATCAAGAAGTTCGTGACTCAACTAAAGGTGGTTCCAAGCATTGTAGATCTAATTGTGCTTTATTACGACAAAAATGGTGCCATTTCTCAGGCTAAAGAACCACAATCTCGCCAAAGATCTAAGCACATACTCCAGCGATACTATCTCATCAGAGAAATTGTGAAGAGAGGTGATGTACAAATCGATAGAGTATCTACTGACAATAACATCACAAACCCACTTACGAAAGCTTTATCGTAGCAGAAGCATGAGAGGTCAAACATATGAATGATTGGCTATAGTGCAAGTAGGAGATTGTAAGAGTAGGTTCCCTAGAGCCAACGATTTAGCTCTTGTAAACTCATTTCAAATTAATGAATAAAAGGCATAACTTATTTATGAGCATATATTGTAGCATCTATTTACTACGCATAAAGAAAAAATTATATGTCCTTAGAAAGGTTGGAATCGGTGATGAGGGAATTAAGTGTTATAAATCTTAATTGTGAGAACCCTATGAGCACAAGGTGACCCTTCTTATACCATCCATAGTCATAGTACAAATCTGACCAAGGACACAGATTATACAGAGAGACTATCATCGCATTGAACGAGCCTATCGAAAGATAGTGATAGATCTCACATGTCAAGGTTGTTTTCATCAACCTGGTGCAACGCATAGGTGCTTGCTTGTTCAACTACACTGGACTAACCCATCAAAAGATTCCACACGAGATGGTAAACCTGGTGTTGGTGGAATATATCCTCTTACAGATGCTGGTGCATGTGGTCCTTCGACTTGAGATCAACATGTTAGAGTAGATGCCCTAGAGCCAATCAATTATTGTAGAACTGACTCTTTCTAATAATGTTCATTAATCAATGATAAAAAGGCATTTTATTCTATATTGCATAAATCATTATTATTGCAATATGTATTGAAATATGTCCTTAGAATGGTAGAACCGTGACGAGGGTATCAAGTGTTTCAAATCTTGATAGTGAGAACCCTATGAGCACATATGGTGGCCATTCTAGAAACGTCCGTAGCCCCAGTATTATTCTAAAGTAA